AAAAAAAATTCGACCGACCGACCCAATTTTCAGATTTCATGTAATGTTAAACGAAAAATTTACTTTGCGTGGCCTTACAGCTTTTGTCATCATCCTTATCTATCCTTATATAGAAATGATAACTTTCACCTTTTTCAGCGTATTTGTACCATCTGACAAATGCTAGCTGATGAGTTTGGTTTCGAACGGTGTTCAAAATAAAATTTTACCTGACTGGGATAAATGTCAACTGATTCATCATCTTTAGCAAGAAATTTTGCCAAAATTCGGGAAGACTTTTTATGTCGCTCCGAATATATTGAACCAAACACCTCTGATCCTAATTGAATTCTTCCATACTGATTCATCATCGGATATATTACAACTTGATCAGAACCAGAAACAAAATCCGCGGGCATTACAAAATGCATCTCATATACACTATTATAATATTCAACAAGCAATTTAAGAATATTAAGGGGAACTTGAACGTTATCTTGTTTAGGCCCAAGCATGCATCCTGGAATAGGCTCAGTACCATATACAACTTCCTGCCCAATAATTTCTCTAAATTTAATAAAATGTTGTAAGTCATGAGAATCCGCATCATCTAATGCTAATCTTGTTGCTAGTATATATTTTTGTAATAACATCAAAGATTCTAATAGATTTTGGTTATGTTTGTAATGAGAGATTATTTTATTTAGCTGCATATTTTGACAAATAATTTTCATTAGTTCAGGTTCGATATTCCTTTGACTAGTACGATAAGAACCTAGATTAATTAATAATAAAGTTATTAACTGTTAATAGATCAATACGTATCATCCAGAGTTTCAGAGTTTTTTACTAATACTAATGAGGCTATATTCTCTTGTAGACCTCCAATGAATATTTGTATGATATATTCTTTAGGCAGGGCCTTTTCAGAGACAACCCTTTTCAGCAATTTTTTGAATTTGAAGGCATACGTTCCGACTCGTTCACCTTTCTTTTGGACCAGAGAGTTCAATTCGACTTGCTATTGATATTTCCTTTCAGGGTCACAAAGTGCTTCAAAAACATTGGTACAAAACTTTTATCTTGTACATACTTCTCATCCCAATATAGGATCTTCTCTTTATTGTTGTGGAACTAGTCTGCAGCGATTCCAGCAAGATAATTAGAGGTGATCCAGATTTTCTTTCTTGTGATCTAGTTATTCATGTTAGGAGCTCATTTGAAGACTTCTATCTATTCATAGAGATCTTCATCATCATTTCAATAGAATGATCTAACTTTAACCCAATTATTTTCATGAGTTTTAGGTTATATGCCATTAATAGCATCTAGAGTTGCATCTTAGAAAATACTTGCTATTTCCCTTAAAATAATATTAACTTGGTCTTGATTTACTTGCAGGTTTCTTTCTTGTTCAGTTGTTTAATTTTTTTCATTGGTTGGTGTATCAAGTAGTTCATCTATCTTTGCTTTATTTTGTTTTATTTTTGCTTTGTTGTTATTATTTGCATATGAGTTATAAGACTATTGTTGTAAGCTTGAGACTTGAAAGAAAAAATTAAAATTTGTATCATCAGGTGGGCCTGCTTTTATATAGCCTGATTTGATTAATAATCTTGAAGTTTATTTGTTGATATTTCATCACTTATACTTTGATATTAGTGAAGTTTGGTTAATTTAATTTATGCTTTGTAATTAAAATATTGAGTAATAGTGATCAATTTGTGATGTACAGTGGGTACCATATTATTATGGACACTTTTTGAAAATTTATATTGACCTAAATAAACAAGATAGAGAGCTAAAAATTATATAAAATATTATTCAAATCTAAAGCTTTCAAATAAAAAAAAATATATAAAATTCTATGTAGTACTTTTTGAAATAATTAAGTTTAAAAAATTTTGGAATTTTTTCATTCGTACTAAAACCTAGTTTTTAATAGAGGTTTAGTATAAATATCAATTTTAATTTTTAGTACATATTCA